AAATTCTTATAACTTAATTTTTTTAAAATATGCTATAAAATATATGAAAAATTAAGATACTTTTAATGATGTAAAATATTCATAACTTATATAAACATTCCCAAAAAATAATTATCATTGTAATGATTTTTCAAACAGTTATATAATATTGTCGATATACTTTGATTTAAATTTCTTTCGTTTAATATTTAAGTAGAATTGAAAAAAAAAAAACAGTATCACGAACCATCTTCACGCATGAATCACCAGAATAATATATTTTTTTATTTACCATTATTTTATCACTGCCTGAAATAAACGACATTTACCAAATTTCCAAGTAGCATCTAATTGAAATATGCTGTAAACTGTTTCAAGAAATTGATTTTCATTATAGAAATGTCTTAAATTATGTACGGGCACTTAAAGTATATTTATATAAATAAATTCTTTAACATGATGTGTTTAATTAAGTTATTGTACGACATAGTTACAGGTTAAAAACAATTAAACAATGCAATAGTCCTACCTTTTTGAAGTTCTTAGTAACTATTTAAAAGTATATGTTCAATATAATTTTTGATAAAATAGATATAAATAAAATATATAGTTTATTATTTTATTATTTTATTTATAAATAAACATAAAATATTTTGATAATTGATTTATAATCAGAATATTGTGTTGAAAATGAAAAAAGTAGCTACTGTAAAAAAAAAAAATCAATACGAATTCAATAAATTGGTTCTTTCATTATTTAAATATTTTTGTTTGCTTAAAAATATCCAAATACTATTCTACAATACTATAATTAATATTTAAAACTTGATTTTCAAATAATAATGGAAAAATATTATTTACGTAAGCATGTTATTTGGTCGTTATTATAGGTTAACTAAATAGAATTTTAAAATTACTTTCGAAATAAAATTTTTAAGAATATTCAAATTAAATAATATAATCTCTACAGATTTGTTTTACATCACCTAAAAATATAAAAGATGCAATAATAAATGTTACATGAATTTTTAACATAATAATCTTCCATCTTTAATGATCTAAATTAATACATACACCACCTGTAAAATTTCAATTATATATATATAATAGTATGTGTAATATATTTTTTGTCTTACGCGAAAGAAAAGAGAGAGAGAGAGAGAGAGAGAGAGAGAGAGAGCATACTGTATAATTATTTGAATTGAAAGAATTATTAAACCAATATCAAGATTTAAAATGACATAAAGGTTTAGTTATTTAACGATTACAAACTACACATTCTAGCAATAATATCCTCAGTTATTGACAATTCGAAAAATTAATATCAGTTTTGTTTAAGATTTTTTGCTAATTTATTAAATAAACGTAATGTCAAACTTATGTGTAAATGAAAAGTTTATTTAAACTTTAATTTGCAGATCATAACAATTTTTGAATTGTGATTTTCAATATTGTGTCTCATCTTATCGTGTTTTAGGTAGCCAGATCAGGTCAGGGATCAGAAAACGACTCCGGACTGGTAAAAAAATCTCAGGGATTTTTTCGGGTCCACTCCTGTTTTTCGGGGTGGTCTATTTTTGTTATGCCGGATCCTATCCCACACCTGGTTATGGGTTCGGCCAAAATCCACATTGTAGGCGTGGTCAAATCCACAATGGATTTGATAAAATAACCTTTTTAGTGTTCAAAATCCAGGAAAATGTTCCATGTTTTAGACTGATTATAATTGTTATATTTTGTATAGTTAAAAATGTATGAAAGCGAATCGAAACACCTTTAAATTTACTAAGTACAGTACGTATAAATCGATCAATCGATCGAATGGGTTTCATATTTTAATCCTATAATAAATAGCAGAATAATTTCATAAAAATTAAATATTTATTTTTCAGTTTAATTTAAAAGAAATTAAATTAAATTTTTACGAATTTTTAATGAAAATGCCATAAAAATAAAAATAAACTTAATTGGAAATGCACTGTTATACGTCGGTTATAATTATTCATAGAAAAATAACACGATTTCCTTGCCTCCGATGAAAATATCGATTCGTTGCCCAGACCGGGACATTTTTATATGAATAATTATTTACAAATGTATACCACCAATAAAATTTATTGCAATTTTGAATGAGTTTGAATATCATTTGATAGATTAGTCATAATTATAATTTATAGTAATGAATGTTGCAATAACTTATTTTTTAAATGTAATTTTATTTCAATGTAACTTCCGGAATAAATTTAAATATAATATATTTACTAAAAAATTGCTATAATATGACGGAGACGTAAAAGATAACCTTATGTATAAAATGTTTCCTTTGTCGATACATAGTAATTATACAAATAGGCCTATATATTTATTATAAATAACATTTTTTCAACATAGATCTTAATTATAGATCTTAATTTTTTATAACTTTTTTTTACTTAATAAAAGCTGAATTCAAGATCATGTTCATATTTTGTACGTTTTTAAATTACGTGTCTATATAAATAAAGAAAATGTTTACAAAATATTAATATTGCAAGCGATGTGCGTGCAAAATAAGACGATGTGAGCTAAATATTTTACGTGAAATTAGTAAATGATAAACGTGTTATGAAACTGTTCTACAAAATGATATTTTTCGAGGAAAGAAAAATTATTGAATAAACTTTTGTTTGAAAAATATGAGTGCAAAACAAACAAACAAACAAAAAGTTATAATATTTCACCGACCATCATTTTTAATAATCTGAATACTAGCAGTAATTTTGAAAGAAAAAGTAATTAATTTTTTTCTTTATAACTTTCCATCCTGTGATTAGTAGACGATCCGTAATATAAAGTTCACAACGTTACACATTAAAGTATGTCTCTAACTAACTCTTCTTTAATTATAAAAGCTAATAATTAAACTTAAAGTGAACAAATACAGAATAATTTTATTTTTAAGAGTTAGCAATTATCCCGCAACTACAGGATGAGTCAGAAAGTTGGCTAGATCTCGTGATGGGCTGACACTATTTGATTTACCGGGAACCGATGAAGGCATTTAAAGGAGTTGCCTTGAAATTGCCTTTCCAAGAAGAGGTCGCCCACCAGTGGCCGAGTAGATAAAACAATTGACCAGCTAGTAGTTGAGTCATGGGTTCTCGCTTGGGCTGAACCATGCGGACTTTTCCGAACTTCACGTTTTTACACCTAAATAAAGGACCAGTTTCTATAAAAGTCCTCCCGGGAGGCATCCTCACTCGGCAGATCGTGTCACGTTGAAACGTGATACGATCTGCCGAGAAACCAAAATAAATAAAATCAAGAAGCAATCAGGTGTTCCTAAGTTACATTAACGTTACCTACATCAGCATCCAGGATAGCATTAAGTGTACAGTAGCAAGTTACAGTTGCAGCATAAGAAATTTTGCATAAACGACCGGGAGGTTTGGGACTGGCTAAACGTGATTTCAATATCATTTGTAATACTTTGCTTGCAAATGCCATTATTCCGTTCCCGGTAATTAAATAGTGTCAGCGTACGATGAGATCAGACCGCAGCCACCTTTCTGATTATCCTGTATACCAGCTAATAAAATTATCATCATGTTTGTCAGTAGGAATGTCATCATTTTATTCAATCCAAATATATTTATAGAAATAATTGTATTTTTATTGAAGATTTTATAGATATAGCTTTCAGAAGACAACATACCCGAAATTTTAGTAATATTTTATTTATTTTTATTTTATTATTTTACAGAAATTAACACACTTGTATAAAGCTAATAAATATCTATGCCAGTTTTAATAAACCTTACGCGAGTGGTGATTCTACATTATAAATTTTATAATAATAAAATAATAATATAAACTGTAAAATCATATATTATTTACGTTATTATTATTAAATTATAAAGTTGATTTAATTATACATAAATTTTTTTATATTAATTAGTACTTTAGTATCATTCTTGATTAACAGTTTTTACCTCTTTATTAATTTTGAATATAAATTGAACAATAAATTTTAGGACATTTAACTCTATTTTGGCATATGGTACGGTACCAGTAGAATAACCTTTATTAAAATTTAATTGTGTTTCAGAATTTACAATCAAACTATAATACGAACCACGAATAAATAAATTAAAAGTAAACATTTGTGTTAATCATTCATATTTTATTTTGAATCAGAGTAAACTTATGAAACTTTCTTCTGTTAATTTCATTACGTGATCTGGACGTATGTCGATTTAGTGTGAACGGACTCTGACATAAAGACCGAAGATCATTTGTGAAAGG